TAAACAAAACGTAAATGGAACCAGAAATCGTAGAAATATCAAAGTCTGCGTTAGAAAAAGAATATTTGATTCATATTTACATGGAATGATTAATGATTACATACAAGCAAAAAAGGAAAAATAATAAATCATGTTTAGTATTGATTCTATGAATGTTACCTCAGAGTGCCAAGAGCATTTTAACTGAGTCATTAACTGAAATTGCATGATGCTCAACCGCTTTAGTAAAACAAATATTGAAGCCTCCCTCGTAATTTTTCCCTTCTTCGTTCATAAAGTATTTTTAACTCCCTTAAATTATTATCAGAAATGATTAGAATTAAAAACCAAGAATAATTATTAAAACCTTCGAAAGTGCTAATATAAGTGAAAAAAAATATTCTACTTAAAACAAAGTATAGTTAAAATATCTGAAAACAATACTAGAACAAAACACGGGTTTTTTTATCATCAAAATAATTTCGAATGAACTTTAAACTTGTGCTTATTAAATGACTCCTTCTGATAAGCGCAAATTAATCGTATAAATATATTTTCTATTAATACTGCTGAATATTTAAGATTTTTAAACTTGTGTTCTAATTTTAAGCCATAGTCATCCAAATAAATTCAATACCAATTATTTGTTTGAAGGATTTTAATTTACTACAATTTTGTACTAAATAATTTTAAGAACGTTTACTGATACCATCATAGTGAAAATACATACGAGGGTTGGAACTTTAATAGTGGCAACACAGCTGAAAAAATGCTATGCAACAAAACCAAAGAATATCGCGTATACCACACGTAAACTACATACCTACTTTACCTCTCAGCAAAAAGACTCGTCCTGCCTACGTCACGCGCATGCGGAGTGACGCGAAGAACGAATCCTTGTATTAGCTCGCAGTCTAAAGTAAGTGTTGTCAGGATGTTTTCAAAACAAGAACAACGATGTTGGATAAAAATTGAATGTGCCAGAGGTCATACAGCACGATAGTGTCATCAAGGGCTTCAAGAGGCTTGCGGAGAATCTGCATTGCCTTACAGAACCGTAGCAAGATGGGTGAAAGCATTCAATGAAGGACGCCGAAACGTGGCAGACATGCTGTGGCCAGGTCCTCCGAGTGTCAGCCATGCAGATGTGCAAGCTGTTGCCGCACTAATGGACAGTGATCGCCGCCAAACGATTCGTCGGCTGGCCGGACAAACAGGATTAGCGCATACGACTGTGCAGCACATTCTGAAGGAACACCTGTCCATGAGAAAAATTGCTTCACGATGGGTTCCACATCATTGACGGAAATGCAGAAATGGCTACTATACGATGCTGCCCGAACCCACCTGGAGCGCTATGAGCGCGAAGGAGATGCTTTTTTACGCTGTATCATTACGCTAGATGAGACTTGGGCCCGATCGTACCAGCCAGAAATGAAACGCCAATCAAACGAATGGCGTCATCACGGGTCACCACAACGTTCGAAATTTCGTCAGAACCCCAGCAATGTGAAAGTTATGGTGATCCTCGTGTACGACTGTGATGGTGTCATCCTAACGTAAACCGTTCCTCCATAGCAGACAGTCACTGCGCAGTATGACTGCTCATTTTTGGAGCAAAATCTCCGACTAGCTTTGAGAAAAAAACGGCGACACTTTCTGCAGAACGCTCCTCTCCTTTTGCATGACAATGCTCAGCCGCATGCAGCGCAAGCTGTGACTGATTTGTTCAAGCGATGGGACTGGGAAGTGCTTTACCATCCACCATACTCACCAGATCTAAGCCTTTGTGACTATGACTTAATTCCTAAGATGAAGGAACCATTACGTGGCACTCGCTTCCAAACTGTTCCTGAGATTCTTGTGGCAGTAGACCGATCCATTCAAACTATCAACAAAACAGGCGCTGCTACAGGTATTCTGCGACTTCCACATCGTTGGAAACGGGTTGTACACAATGCTGGCGACTATATTGAAGTACTGTAAAACATGGTGACATTGTAAGGATCTTAAGTTTTACTAACGTTTATTTTATTTTAAATCTTTACTATCACTTCTTATTTTCTACTTCCGGCCAGAATTATAAGCGTTAAGGATTTTATGCAAAGTTTGTCTGGCGAACGCCAAGTATTTAAGTGTGGCCTTTTTGCCAAGCGAAAGAGAGGAAGCAGTGAGTTCGAAGCAGGCCGCTTACCTTAGAAGTTACGCAGTTGCTATTTGCCTTCCAGGCCAGAGGTTTTAATCCTCTTGATAAATTAAATGTATTTGTAGTGTTCACAGTCTCTGTGCTACATACGCTTCCTGTTATTATAAGGCCAATCTTCCACGTGTATTATTCTAAAGTTAAATTAGAGTTTAGTTTTATTTTGATATCTTTTACGTTAGACCCCGAGTGGAGGGTCATTGTATTCCGAAGTACGGAAGTCATTATATATAAAGAAAAAAATAAAGGGTTTTGTATACCCTTCGTCTGTATCCTGTCTACTTACTACAATTAGTGAACATAGCTTTAGTAAGCTCTCTGTTCCTAGTCAGGTCCTTGTATGTTCCCGAAAAAGGTTAGAAGAAACATTGAACCTGATAACATGAATCACTTTTGTATTCCTTGTAAATAAATAGTTGCCACTATTAAAGTTCCAACCCTCGTATTATTAGAGAGAAATTAAAAATTCCGCTTTTCTTCCTTCAGTATTTGAATTCACAGCTCTTTTTTTGGAAACAAAATTAATGTTAAGTATATTAGATTAACTTGTTGGAGCATTTCTGATAGACATTTACGTGCATTTATTCCTGCCAGTGGCCGATTTCTTAAGACCACTGAATAATAGTAGGTCGACTCGAGTTTGAACTCAAAGCGAACGGGTTAGCTGCATGTTTATTTTCCCCCCAATGTGTTGAACCCTACCCTTGGCGCATCATAACCGCTGGATTATGCGCCAAAAAAATTCCCCATGTGTCACGTGAATACGAGCCAGTTTCCATAGAAAGTCTTCTAGAAAGGCATCGCTCTCCATAGACAGACAGCCCTCGTGTGCTTTGCCATATTTCAACTATATTCTAACCTAATCTTACATTCATTTATATATTTAAGAATTGGGATTTATTTATACTGTAAATATTAAAGCAACATCATGAAGGAACTTTTCTGTTAAATGTCTGTTTGTAAGGTTTTAAGTTAATTAGCCCAGTTGTATTAACATTTTTCCTTTACTTTGATATTTCTTTCGTCAACTTCCACCAGGATGGAGATTAGTGTTTAACGTGTTTAACCGTAGAGTTCTTGAGTTCGAGAGCGAGCCTCTCAGCTACTGACCGGTCACTATTCTTTCTCCCTATGATTAAATTGCTTAATCGGTTTTAGCTTCACTAACCGTAATTGCTTGGTGAAAATATTAAGGTCAATGATTACTTCGGCGTGTGTAATTTTATATTTAATATTTTAATTTGACTGGAACCTTTATTCAATGTTTTCCGCTCAGTGTCGGCTTTTACTTTTATCTTACGGCAACCCTTTGACGTGCGCGGATTTGCGAACGCAATTTCGCTTATATGTGTTATCTTAATTGATTCCATTTAATTTTCCCAACTCTAGTCATAGGCTAAATTATATGCTGTTCAACGTTTATTCATCAACACTGAATGTTTGCTGGCTTCAGGTCTGGTCAGCAGTTATCAGCAGCTAATGAACTTGCATTGATTGAAGCCAAAGAAATCGCACAAATAGCAAATGCAATAGGCAGAAAAGGGTTTTTAGATATGGAAGAAGGAATAGAATTAATCGAAGAATGATAAATGAAAAATCTGATGATCTTATAATACCAGAATAATAGTGAAATCAGTGATAATGGTGAAAATAACGCACCTTTAACTTACAGAAATTTAAAAAACAAAGAGCTGTGTCATTTTTCAATTGAAATCGACCCAAATGAAGAAACAAGACACTTTATGAGATGCATTCATGAACTGTTCGCTTCTTACAGCAAAACTTTTAAAGAGTTACGTCTGTCATTGTCTCGAGAAAAAATCCGCAGCTTTTTAAAAGAATATTTGTATCACATATTTATTAAGCAGTAATAAAAATCCTTTCAATTAACACTTGTTTCATTTTTTTTCCTTTTATATACAACAGTATTTTGGTTTGTTTAAATTACACATACTTTCTTAATCTGCATTATTCTAACACCATTTTTTTCATAAGAACGTTAATGTTGGGGAATGCGAGTTTGCCGTACTCGCAACGTATTAATGGCTTAATTCCCGCTCTCGGAAAGGATTTACTCTTTTTTATAATTTGTATATCCCTTAAGCTGACAGGTAAATAAACATATTTATTTTGAACCTTCTTCTTCTGAGTTTCTTTACTGATATTCAAGACCGGGCGATAAATCGTCTATCTGTCTACGAGTTAACATTTAGAGTAGTGTGGAGTCATACATATATTTTAACTTTATAATTATGCCTATTTTATAAGTAAAAGTACGTCAGATATTTTCAATACTTTTCAAACATATTTTGCAATAATAGCTGAAATTATAATGCCCTATATTACAATGTATACAAAAAAATAATTTTATTTTCGTAATAATTTTATTACATTACGAAAGTAAATACAGCAATAAAGCATAACCTTTTAAGATGTGCCTGATTTCGTCAAATATATGCAGGTAATCTATAAGGTTTTGTAATTTTAAATACGGGAATCATAAAATTTGAGGAAATTTTTTAATTATATGATTGATGATTCAGATTTTCGGATAAAATGAGTCCTATTTTAATGTTTATTATTGCACTTGATTTTTTTTTCGTATTTAACAGTCAGTCAAAAACAATTCTGTCTTAACATAGCTTTCTACTAAAAGTCTGGCCTTTTAATGTGCAATTTAATAGTTGTATTTTTCCTTACCTCAATACCGGCTGCGTCCAACTGCATGCCCTAAATACTTCAGACTATGTTCAGAAGATAAAATATTAAGAATTATGCTATTTTGTTAAATAATTTCATACTCATTTTATATTTTCAGAGATCCTCATTCAGTATGGACAGCTAGAATGGGTATTGTTCGTTTAGCTTCAAGTTCGCCTTTTGACCAAGAATCAAGAATTACTGGAATAGTTAAATCGCCAGTTGGTTCTGGTATGCTTTCAATTTTAAAACTGGAAAAGCCCATAAATGGATCGGACTACGTAAGGCCATCTTGTTTACCGAGTCACAATTACTCTCTAGAAGGAATCCCTTGCAATACCTTACGATGGAACATAAGAAGTAAGTCTATTTCTCTAATGTGAATTCTAAAGTTTTATAGTTCCTGTCTTTTCAACGTAGTTCATTCAGTTCAGATGACAGATGATCTAGAATATTTGTTAAGAACTGCTCACGTGCAATAATATTATTTGATATGTTTAACATTTTTTTATTTTAGTTTAATATTTTGAAAGAAATGTTGTTAAAAATGTGATGGCAACTGTTAGAAAAATCGTTTTCTTTTTAAGTTGATTGAAATTCTGATGAATCTTTTGCTGAGTGTAGAATTCCGATAAAGTCTCTCTTTCTTTAGCTGAGTTGTATAAGGAGAAAACATTCTTTCTGTCTAAATAAATCGCTGCGTTGATGTTATGGAAAAACCTTGTTCCTTTCAAGAAAAAAGCACATTAGTTTTTACATATAAGTGAATTATTTCCTTTGCATTTCGTTACGTAACGTACAGGTCCGTAGACAATTAGTCACGGTAACCGAAACAATTATTTTAATTATTCTTTTACGTACTCTAACAGTATTAATTAGTAAAAGTACTAAGAAATATAAATTTCAACAAAAATCCCTTTAAATAAAAATAGCTTGGATTTTAATGCTCTTTCTATACATTTCTTCTTCTATGATAAATGCGTATGCCTAATCATGATTCAAATACAATGCCATTTTTTAACGTAATGTGAAGTCGTAAAGCTAAAGTTATCTTCAAGTGTTCTGAAACGTGGTTCGTTTTCATGAAACAGGAAGAAAATGACATTTTTATTATTGCAATTTAAACTACGCTACTGCTCTTCTTAACTTCCAAATATATTTTACTTAATTTAGGGCAAAAGATAGCAAAACTTTAGAAGTTTTGGCAAAAATTTAGGCAAAAGAAAAAAAAATGTTTTTAAGAGTAACAGTTTTTAAGTTTGTTTAAAATGCTCTTAAACTTTAGTAATTTTTTGTAATAAGACAGGACTTTTAACTTTCATGCTTACTTTGTAACTGCACAAAGTGAAGTTCGTTTTGAGTTGGAGCCTCAATCGTAATGCAATATCTCCCAGAAGAATATGCCATACCACAGATAATTTCCTGTAGTACAGTGTAAATTTCACGGTTACAGTTACATCAAAAGTTTATGCATTAGCAATCTGGAAGCTTTAGATTATATTTAAACCGGTAAATTATGGAAGTTGGTGAGAGTTCTGTCAATTATATGATCTGGAAACGTGGAAAATGAAGAAAACTAGTCCATAACAGATTTTCTCAAAGATATGCTGACTAGTTTCATTTTATTACTTTCTGTGTGCCAAAAAAAGGAATAAGGGAGGAAAATAGCTTTGATACGCCGTTCTGCTAAACTAAAATATTTTCTAAGAATTCAGTCAAAGGTTGTACTGTCTGTCTGTTTTCTGCGTTTCATTGAAGCAAAAATTCCACAGGCGGCAAGGTTGAATTCGTGGACATTGGCGAAACGCGAACGGCTGTGTTGTAGTTGAACCACCAAAACAACGGCACAAAGCACCCGAATTTATTCACAGCTGGCGGCATTCTGCTGGGTACATGAAGAGATCCGGATTATAGATATGTCGCAGATAATTTCTCCCGGAGAATTTGCAGTTCGGCCGCCCTTTTCGAAATCATTAAGATTATTTGGATGGTGCAGCTTTCGCGAAGATTACTATTAACAATGAGCCATTTTAATGCCTGCACTGGCATCTTGTTGCTGTTCGAAATCAGACTCAGTTTCTAAAAATTAACTTGCTACATAACTGTGCCAAATTATCTCTTATATTTTATCCTATGGCATTTTCCCTGTGGGGTAATATAGTGCAACTTTTATCTCTGTTCCTGAATTCTTCTGTTCTGATCCATGTATCACTTTTCTAGAAAACCATCTTTTCGAGGTTAAATTGACGGTTACAGGTCACAATTGCACCGAAGACCCATCGGATAACACTACAAGTTTCAACCAGAGGCCAATTTGTGCAGTTGAAAACGAAGTTATGGAGAATGACGAGTGTCAGGTAAGTAGAGAAAGTTTCAGGAATTTAACCATGAATAAATTGCGTATTGTGACTGCATTATGTATAAACAGGCTGTTTTAACGAAAGGTGGCAGTGATATAGTTTTACATGTAAAATGCATGTCAATTTTAATATATTCTAAAAACCCCATATTTCATTTCAAAACAATTTTTCATTTTTTAATTTCTTCTTTTACATTTATTTTTATATTACGAATATTACACAACGCAAAATATTATGCTTTCTTTAAGCTATTCTGAAGATAGTACGCATTATTATGTTTATGATTATTTAGCGCTCACCAGGAGAAAGGTTCACCAAAGAACTGACAGAGAGAATAAGATATGTTTAAGGTTCAAACCGGTTTCAGAATGATAGAGTTGTGGTTAAGCTTTATTTTGATGGGTTAATTTTAAGTTCCGATTTGCAAATTCGAAATTATTGGCTGATACGTTGAATAAGTGCTTGCTCGCTTCATTAGCATTATGTAAGTATCATGTGAGACAGAGTTTTTAAAAGCCGCAGTTTAGACAAATTTATTACAAATAGTAACTACTTTGAGAGCAAAAAGGGAAAAAAACAAATTTAAAAGGAAAGTTAAGTGACTATTGCAAATGAAAGTTCAGTTTTCGAGGTTTAACGGAAAAGACTCCTTTCCTTGTGTAAGATAGCTGGCAGTTTAAAAACTGCATCAAAACATTCCAATACAGTAACAAAACAAATTAGTATATATCACATTCATTCTTATAAATGGTTTCTCACTTTCTTTGTACGAAAAGTTAACTAATACTTCAAATGATAATGAAATATATATTAATACTAATGCTAATGAAATAATAAATTATCATTTATGTTCCATATTTATTTCAAATTAATTAAAGACTTAATAATGCAAAACTGTAATAACTGTTATATTTCATTTTAATAGCTTTCCCTAATTAAAATGTGCACAACATTTTAAAATTCATAACTGAATTTACTCGATATTAATACTGAAAAGTAAATCTCTAATAGTATAAAACTGATTTGTCCATGGTCTTAAAATGAGCATTATCCGTTTAATATACAATATAGTGAAAAAAATTAATATACATGAAAAAGTATAATAGCAACCAAAATCCTAAGCTTAATTTTCAATAACCTCTTAAGTTTACCAATTAAACTGGTTATTTCCCGTATCTGTCTTAAAATATTTATATGCTTACAATAAATCTCTTTATACTGGGTCATTTCAATATTAATCATTATGACATGATTCTTATGCAACGCTAATGACTCATTCTTTTGCGTAGTGCTTCAGCCAATAATAATAATAAAATCTGCAAACTAAAATCTAAGTTAGCCAATAGAAATGAAATCAAACCCAAACGGAATCATTGTTGACGTAATCTTTAAAATATAATCTACACATTTATCTCTGGATAACAAGCATGCTGTCCGCTGCTTCTTTCTTTCTTTTTTCAACAGTTTACAAAAGTGAAAAGGTATCAAATCATGAACAGGCACGCTTTTTTGTGTTTGCATGAAAATTGTTATCATCAATAAAAGATAATACTGAATCAGCCGCGACTGCAACTGTACCTTTATGAATCGGTTTTCATTGTAAACATTAAAAATGTGTATATATCACAAAACTTTTTTTATTAAAAATATAATTATTCAAAGTAATGCTGCTGAAAATTGATCAGTATATACAAAAAGTAAGAAATTTAGAACCCATTTTACACAAAGCCTCAGAAAGAGTGAAATTCAACACAAATAAATTTCAAAAAGGTCCAATAAATACAAAATGAAAATTAAAGAAATATGAAATTAAAAGCTAAAAATAATAATAAATACTTAAAAATATATAACAATACCCAAATATTTTTTCTGGAATTGATATAGGTATTTTTGAAGTATTTATTATTTTTTGGTTTTAGTTTTATATTTCTTTAATTCTCATGCTGTTTGTATTGGATATTTTTAAAATTTATTTGTACTGAATTTCACTTTTTTGGGGTCTTTGTGTAGAATGGGTTCTAAATTTTTTACTTTTTGTCTGTATATATATTATATGTGTGTGTGTGTGTGTGTATGTATGTATATTTGTGCGCGTATCTTTTTGTAATAAATCCATGCTTTAAGTGAACTGATACTGAAAGCAGCGCCTTACGCCTCCCATCTTAGAGTTTCTTCCAGTAACATGACTAACTAATACCGCAATAACAACTATTAAAAATACAGTATTACAAAAAGACGGGTAAAACAATGCAGCAGTTAATTCTGAATTATTCAGGTTTTTCTCTGTCCTGCTTCTCTGATTATTTTACTCGAATGCTAATCTTGCCATCAAAAGCAAATTAAACTTTCAGACGTTTTGAGAAAACATCTTCCTCGAAGCATTTTAAATGTAGAATATTTTAATTGAATATTTAAACATCCGATGAGAGTTTAATGCATGCTTATCCGTACAGCACTCAATGAACTGTGACAGCTCATCAATCGACTGCTTACATGTATAGTAAAAAATATTCCAGTTAGCTTTCTTTACGCTGAAGACTATATTGCTGTTTTCTCTGTCATAAAGAGTGTTATTAGAAGATACAGATAGTTCAAACTCAATCGTACTATGATCAGAGAGAGCTTTATAATCGGGTTGACACCAACGCAAAATATCTCCAAGAAGATCAGCTCCCACAACCGTAATGTCAATATAGCTTGAACCTTAAGTATTACAGAAAGCAGGAGCACAGTCTTCATTGGTAACGAGCAGATTATTGATACTTAAAAATTCACAAAGTGGAAATCTGAAAGTGGACTATGCCAAATTTCAGGTTTACCATTGGCATCCACAGCCTAGATCAATCTGTTACAATTCTTGAAGCTAATGCTACTTTATTTTTATGCAAATCTAGGTGCATATTTCTGTTAGGTTCAAAATAATCACAGAAAAAGATAAAATCATGAGTATTGAGAGTAACATGAAGAAACACCATATTATAATCAAGATTATTAATATCAAGCAAAGTAGACAGTTTTTGATTCTGTACAGTTATATCAGCTTTAATGGTATCACTATTAGCATCAAAATAAACCTGGTAGGAGGAAGAATGCAGAATTGGACTTCTAAATTTCCTAACATAGGAATGCATCATGTTTGGGGGAATGCTTTTTGTACATGCTAAAAAATGATAACTGGCAAATCAGTTAAGAGCCTAGAATTCGCCAATAAGGTGTAATGGTGCAATAAAAATCTACTCGCCACTTCTAGAACTCCTAAGGTTTCACTGGAAAAGGGAGCTAATTTTAACTCAATTAATGCTTATGTAAATTTATAAAGAACTCAATACGGTTATATTTTAGAATAAGTTACGTTGTAAGGTTTATCCTAAGTTGTTAACAGTTATCTTTTTAGTTAAAACTACTTTCCGGTCACTTCTAATTTCAGCTTACGAATTCCCTGCCAGAGTGTGTCTTCAAAATAGCGGTTAAATGAAAATGAAGGAAGAGCAGTACTTAAGTCGAAATTCCAATGACTTCGTTAGAGCCAGAGATTCTGACTAGTGCGCGTTCGCCTTTTGGCTACTCTCCCACTAAGCTATTACTATGCTCTGCCCATTTTTAGGCCCTTGATAGCTTCGTCGTTTAGTTAGCATTTAAGGGGCTACTCCTGTGGAATTTTGATAGCTTAGGCTATATCTTTTTAGCTAAGCATTAGTTAAGTTGATTTTCTTAGTACTCTTGAGTTCAGGCCCAAGTAAAGCCTGTTCTGTACGTCCTTAGAAATAACCATCTGTAAAACCTTATTTTGATCAATAAAGGGTAATTAACCCTTCTTGAGTTTCTGTTTCCTGAGTTGAAGCGATTATTCGCTTACCAGCTCTCAAGGTTCCACACACTTAACTGTAAATTCTAGGTAGGAACCTTATAACGTTCATCCTTTTGCTGAGGAACTTTTGCACAATTAACTATGCATAATTTTTGCAGAAAAAACTTATGCACGATTTTATATGTATATAACTTATGCATGATTATATATATGTAATTTATGCACTATATATATATATATGTAATTTATGCAGTACTTTATGTATTGTTTTAGGGAGACGAATCCGAAGGAAGTCCTTTATTGTGCAACATAAATGACAAGTGGTATGTCGTTGGAATTAGCAGCCGTGTAACCACATGTCCAAGCTCAACTAAACAGAGAAAGTACCATCACACATTTGAGCACGTCCAATGGATACGCCACACCCTTGAATCTCTAAAAGGCCATTAAACTCTGCAGCATGCTGTTGTAAAGACTCAAAAATGTTTCATTTAATCGCATACACTACAGGATCATTTATTGTAGTGTTAAAAAGAAATGAACTGGAGAAAGCCCTTGTCCAATAATCTGGATTAAAGTTCATTATTCGTGATGAAATTATAGTGTTTTCGATAGGATTCTGCAGACCAGGAAAGAAGCATCATAATGTTCGAGGTGCATTTTTAGGACAGAAATTTCACGTTTGTTGTAATAAGTTACACTAAATGTATGTCCTGTTTGGTAACAATTTGTTCCGCATAATAATCATCTGATTGTCTATAGCATTGAAGTGTGTAAGGTCAAAGAATCAACTTTTTTATTCACTTTCAGTTGAAGTACCTGTTCAGTTATTTTTGAAAACTGTTAATTCAAAGACATATTTGATAATTTGAGCTCATGTTTTAAGTATGTACTTAAGCAATTATACTTATGCTCATGTTTATATACATAAGCTTATACTTAAGTTACATTTTATGCAACTGATAAGGTATATATAATTTATTTCTTATTATGCAGCAAAGTTTTGAAAATTGGCTGTCAAATATCTGGAAGCCCATTTACTGAAATACATTTACTTAAACACATACATTTTACATAAACACATTCCTGTTCTAAAACAGCAATTCCTGTTTCATAAAAATAAGAAACGTTGTAGCGACTCATTTACCATCTTAACCATCTTATCACGTCATTACCCTTATTTTTAAATTAAATCTTTTTATTAACATTTCAAAGACATCTGTGTGGAAATACCTAAAGCCAAAAAAGTGTTTCTATGAATAGCTTAATGTAAATAAAGCATTAGAATGTTTGTTATTGTGCACAGTCCAAAATAAAAGCTTTCTATCTGTATTGGAAAAATAATCTGTTTATTTGCATTATTTTTAAGCACCAGCACATTCATACTTGTAGGAATTACATAAGATTTTTGTTTCCATTGAATTAAACAAAGTTTTATTTCCATTCCGATTAATAATATTAAATTTGTGACACTATTATAAAATGGTACGTTACTGAATTATTTATTAAGAAAAAGTAAGGTCTTATCTTCCCTTTAAAATAGTTGTTTTAAACAGCCAGGTACATTCAGCTTAAAGCAGTCATCAAGGATGACCAAAACCATTGGTTAGGTTATTCGGATATGGCAAAGCACGCCAGTGCTATCTGCTTAAGGGGCGGGTGGCTTTAGTTGAGGGCTTCCTAAGGAAAACTGGGTAGTATTTCACTTTACACATGGGGAGAACCAACTGCGCAGCCAGACCGTTCGCCTGTGATGAAACCCAGGTCAAACTTCCAGCATTCAGTAGCCGTTAACCACTTAGTTACATGGTGTTCCCAATATTCATCAGTCATTTGGCCATCTCATCACCGAAAACATTGCCAGAGAGGGCTACCAGTTTTACACCCGCAAGAGCGGAGAATTTCCGTGCCACTTTTAATGCTCTTGGAAACAGTACCAAGATGACTCCAGGACTTGTCTCTCTGTATATTTGTTATCCTGATAAATGCCATTTACTTCCTACTAAGCACATAGGTAAAGCCAGTAAGATTGCATTTCTAACAATTCTACAAAAGGTTACATAGTCACAGATGCACAGAGTTTCACATACCTTACAGTTTTACATACAGTAATGTTTACGACATTGGAATGATAAGTATAGTTATTTGTTATGAACTAATTTAACCTAGCAGTTTCACTTCTTGTTTGGGGGATATTACTTATAGTTCAGATTACTAATCAGTTGCCTGCGTTTAATAGAACATACTACAAATTATACTTAGGGGCACAAAAGACGCTATCATTAATAACTTAACCAAATAATTATTTTTCATTAGCAGTTTAATAAAGGCTGTTTCTGAGTAAGTGCTGTACTAGTTAAAACTAGTTATCCATGGTTCATTCCCGCAATGTTGGATGTCCATTTTAGTTACTTATAACACATTTTCCAACCAGCCCTGAGACTTCCGGCGTAAGCCTTTTTGTTAGCTTAATCACTCGCGTGTTTAATTATAGCCAACGCTTGTTAGTTTTTGTACAGTGAACCTCCAGCATTAATTTTGTTTCTAATTTTAATTTACTATCTACCTTGTTTGAAATCTCGCAAGCTGTGGAGATTAATTTGTAAACATAAGGCGTGCATTGTTAAGTTTAAGAGTAAAGTATAAAGGTTATTTAAACATTCTTCTAAATATGCAGTTACTTTCACAGAGGGGGGCAATAAACAACCAACTCTGTATTAAGGTGTAGGGCTCAATAAATTAATTTAATTAAGGAGTGAAACCCTACAAATGCAATTAGTAGACCATTCTTCGAGGTCAGTCAGCGGAGGCAAGTTCTACAAGTGCTGAACTAGCGCAAGCTGGGATCAACGAATTCGATGTGAAGAGAGGCTAACTTGAAATTCAATTTTTAACATAAATGTTAAAAAAAGAATAAATATGCTTTCAGTTGTAAATTTAATTTTAATGGAATAAAAATCACAAAAGGTACTTTTCTCTGGGCTCCCAAATAAAAATTGCACCTTAATACAATGTTTAACACTTATTTATGTAAATAAAAGTATAATATTCAATATTTATATACAGTATGGTAGTTTCAACAACGTAAGTATTATATTGGAATTTTGGATATGGAAAGCAAAAATTACCGGGTTTTAATACAGGAAATACGGTCATTTATTAAAACCATTGAATACTGTTTGAATTTTGATACCATAAGGTAGTTTTTCAAACATTATGAGTAAGCTAGTTGTGGTGTTTCCTAACAAAACACATCCTAAGCAATTTCTAGGGTTTTCACGTTAGACATTCGCCTAAGCAGTCTAGCGATAATCGAGTTGATGATATAGTTTCATTTATACCAGTTTTCTAATTACTATTCTGTTGGTGGATAAAATCCTTTTTCTTATGAATTATTTACGTCTCTTTTTCAAACTCAATGGCTTTAATTAATTCTATTTATCTTTTTCCTTTCTTTCCATTTTGTCATTTCTCTTTTACCAGGTCGTAAGGTTATTTGGATTGTGTATTGACAGTCAGAATTATTCGGGAAAGAAATTAGCTTTCTTGACTTACTCGTCCTTTAGGCAAAAAAACAAGCATTCTGTTTCTCAGTTATTATGTTATCATCTCACATATTCGCGCCGCTTCACAAGCATTTGCATACTCTTAGCATTCTGTGGACTCTTTGCCTTTAAGACAGGCATCTCATAAAATTTATTTTACCAGATCTGATGTAATTAATTGAAGCATGCCCTTACTTTCTCTATAAAAATACTGCTTAAAGTAAATGCAGATTGTATTTTAATATTTTTCTAGCAGCGCTGATGGAACGTGAAAGAGAAATCTTTTTCCTTCTCTTTTGTTTGTCTTGTTATAGAAAGCGAGAGTAGGCATTTATCCTTAAAGATATGTTATTTGTGATGTATGAAGTAAGTTCTATTGTAGATTATCTTCCTTCTTTTCATAATTAGCTCTCTTGTAAAGCACACAGATTTGAAAGTTATCTAGAGAAAGAATCAAAGAAACATGATATCTAAAAATTCAAATTTTAAACTCCGTGAATAAGAATTTGTTGTCTGAAGGCAAGTAACGAATTCAATTGCGAATAAAATAAAACTATTTTGAAGTAAAATAAAAAAACAGATTATGCAGATAAAAATGAAAGTCTGAACTATTTTTCGAACATTTTGTACTAGATTATAGCTACTGCTGCTAATGCAATTACATTAAGTATTTCATTACTGAAAACACACAGGAAAACAGTTCTACCTTGAATTTAAGTTTTTGGCATTGAAGCTTTATTTAGCTGGCTTGAAGGGAAAGTACTAACGTTCTTTCCCTTCAAGCCAGCTAAATAAAAGAAAAAAAATAGTATTAATTTTTCTTAAATTTTTGGAAATCTCAGTCTCGGCATTAAAAAGTATACATATTTGAAAGATGATGCTTGCCGAAACTTCCTTTGAATTTTTTTACTACCGCACTTCTGTTTAATTCAGTTTAGCGGAGATCGTACTTTCCGCTTCAAGTAAGTTTCTGTTTCGAAAACAAAATGCTACTAGTTGTACATTAAGATTAACGAAATATAAAAAGAGCCACTACTACGCTCTTCGTCGCCACAAAAAAAAAAAAAAAAAAAAAAAAAAAAACTATAAAATTCACTGGGCGCTCACCGGGATTCAATCTACACATCTTCGGTTTACTTGCTAAAGAGTGTGAACGGGGTATTGCTTAGAATCTTAACAAATTTCAGCTGCAGTTTAAAATTTAATAGAATTAATCAAAATTCAAGGCCTTACTTGCATAGTAAAAAAATCAATATTCAAAGATTTATTGCAATTTCATTAACATCTGAAACTCAATGTTGGCTCAACATTACGTACATAGACGTAAGATTTTGTGAAGAAACCAATCAATTTGATTTATTTTTTCATTCGAGTGTACAAAAGGAGAACCTGATTATTATTATCGATTTCAATTTATTCATTCTGTTTCTAAAATGTAAACAAGGAGAAAGCAACTTCACTTGTTGACGATGAATCCCACCAGCCTCCATTTTAATCAGCTAATGGAGCGCTATCAAGGATCTCCTACGACGGTAGCACTTGCAGGTAATGAAATACCCCCATACGCATCTGACGTGATTATAATCTCTTCCACATTATTAAAAAAAACCACTGCAAAGTATCAATTATAACAGCAGGTTGGTCGCTGCGGTACATCAACAAATCATGATATACGACGCCTTCCAGCAATTTGACAGGAGATGGTAAACTTTTCGGACGATTAGGCTGTAAGTTTTATGTTTGTAAAATAAATCTTTTCGGAACTCTCGAACGTGTTGCCGATGTTTTTGTTGAAACCTTGTAAATAGCTAAAAGGAGGGCTAGTATGCTTGTAGAGATATAAGTTTTATTTTGAAGCAGGAAACATGAAATATCAACAATGCACTGACCAGAATTCGAACTCCGGGCCTTCCGATTGCTAGCCAGATGCTCTTCTAATTAAACAATGAAAGCACGAGGCATGAAGAGGAAAAATACCTCACAAGCTTATTATCCAATTTTATTATCTAAGCAAACACGAACAGCCAGCCTTATTAAAGCAGTATGTGACTGACGCTTCATGATCACAAAAAACGCCTATGTAAGCAAGAGTTAAAGAGTAAGAATAATATCACTGCTCTCTTGGAGTCGTTACTTTTTAGCAGTAAGAGGCGTTTCTTTTGTCTCACTTTTTCCACTTGGCTTAAATGTTTTAGGCTTGATAGTGGCTTTCTAATCACTTGGGGGCCCCGACAGAATAGATGTCATTTATTAAATTCAAAAAGAAATATATACATGTGCAAATAAGGCACTTGAAGAAGAGTACAATCATAGATCATAACAGAATACACTGACACATTCACCAGATTTCGCATATCCAATAAATAATTACATTTTCCATGACATATATCAGGTTATATTGTGCTCAACATTTGAGTAATTGTTATGTTAAGTGAAATATACAGTATTAGTCCAAAGGGGCTTCGTCCCTGAGGGACTATAGTTTGCGTTTTGCGATTTTGTATCGAATCACTCTGAATGTCCGTTTCACTTTTCAAACTGTGTAGGGTTTTCCTTATTTTGCATAACAAATTTATTTTAAGTTGATACCTTCATCTGAACTTCTCAACTTCCCTTCACATTCTCTCGCCAGGATGTAAATTTAAGTTAGGAGATGTGTGTATTTAAAGGGGTGGATCTCTGAGTTTATTCAGAGCGTGTGTTCGCTAGCCAGCGTACGTTTCGTTGTTTTTCGCTGTTACGCTAGTAAGCCTCTTGGCCATTTCGGATTTATCATCACGCTTGTTAGGTTTTGTATGT